CATTTGAGGGGTTTGGATTCAACATTAATTGAGCAAAATATTTTTACCCTAATTAATCTGGAAGAATGGGGCTGCAGCAATCGAAAGACGAATTGCTTTATGAGAAAGTAAATTCTGGTAGCGTCGAAGAAATTAAATCTCTCCGCCGTGATGGTGCCGGCCTGGAGGTAATATTCCTTCAAATATTAATTTTAATTTCTGATTAAAATTAATATTTTTTTTTTCTTTCTGAAATGGTGATATTTGGTGGCGCAGTGGATTGACAAAGAAGGGAAGACTCCATTAATCGTAGCTTGTATGAATCCACAGCTTTATAATGTTGCTAATACATTGATAGAGTTGGGTGCCAATGTCAATGCTTATCGTCCAGGTAATATTTAATTCGGTGTTCACCCAATTTTTGTGTTTTTTTTTTTTCATACTTAATTTGGAAAAATATTGATTGTGGTGGTTCGGAAGGTAGGAAAAATGACTTTTTTGGTTCGATTAATCGAAGAAATTATTATTAGTTGTGGGGAGGTGTTAAATGCTGGTTTCAATTTTATTGGTACCGTTTCGATTTCAAATGTGGTTTTGACCATTTTTAGTCCGAGTTTGACTAAATTCGGAACACCAAATTTGATGTTTTGAGTATTCTGAGATTTAGACTGTAACCCATTCATGCATTACTCTCTCACCTGATATTTAATCTCTCACTCGACATTCAATCTAGCGTATAAGAAAACTAACTCAAGGAACTATATATTTGATGCTTTGAATTTCGCCAAATTCGGACTAAAAATGGTCAAAAATCACATTTGAAGTCGAAACGGGAAACGGCATTTAGCATTTCAGTTCTTATTAATTTTTCCTAGTTTAATTTTTCCCTATTTTTCGTTGTTCCCTTCTTTAAGGTCGACAAGCTGGAACTCCGCTACATCATGCTGCAAAACGAGGCCTCGAGCAGACTCTCAAGTTGCTTCTTTCACATGGAGGTGTGTGTTTCTTGAAAAAAAAACATATCATGTTTCTTTTTTCGTGTCTCAGTTTTATTTTTATTTCAATTAATTCTTTCCATTGGAAATAATTCCAGCAAATGCGATGGTAATGAACGATGATTGTCAAACCCCACTTGATGTTGCTAGATCAAAAGGATACACTAATATTGTCCGAGCAATCGAGGTATCCTTCTTTTTTGCAACCATTTCGATGCTATAGTTTTAAAATAATTTTTAAATTGCCTTTTTGTAGAACCAGTTATTGAAAAATTCAAACCTTCTTCGCGTTGATTTTCTCAGGGGCATCTCTGCTTATTCTCCGGTTGGCTGCGAGAACTTCACGGACCGACCTTTCTCGAACTTCTTGC